CAGCATTCCTTGTCTGGGTGATGAAAATGTCCTAAAATTGCCGTGATGATTGGACAACTCGGAAAATACTAAAAACCATCGAATTGTACACTTTAGGTAAATTTTATGGAATATAGCTGTTATCAAAAGAACTCTCCTATGGAAAATGACATGGGTACAAATCAGGGCCAGATCAACAAGCATGAACCAGGGGCCTGTTGTCATGGGGGAGGTGGTGGTGCGTGGTGGCGACTGGGGGCCGAGTCGCAGCATTGGCTCTGGAGTTGGTCGGGGGCAGGGGCAGACTTGGGGCTTGAGCAACTTATTCCAGAGAGGAGGTCCCGCGTAGCTGCTGTTGTGACCCAAGATCTGGATTCACATCCATAGGTCGGAATATTGGTGTACCAGCCATCCTCAGACACCTCACTGAGGACTGATGGGGAACCTGAGGCATGGGGGGGTTACGAAGCTTGTCCAGAGTCACACAGGGTGTAAAGGGCACAGCCAAGACTCAGAGCCAGCTTGTAAAAAGTAAAATGAAGAAATATGGCAAAGTATTAGGAGAAAGAAAGACGTTTAGGTTCCAGAGGCCAGTCGTCCACATCAGTGGCAGACAAGAGATGACGGAGGGGTTCGTACTGGACAATGTCACTTCCCGGTGAAGGACATGGCCTTGCAGAAGTTGATGAGTCAAGAGGAATGCACATCGGTGAAGATGCTGTTGAAAGACTGAAAGGTGAAAGGCAGTTCTTCCAAGGCTTCTTTGGAAAAACTGGAAAGAAAGGGAAGGCAGTCCTGTGGGCATCAGCAGGTGGACTCAGAGCTGTGGATGAAAAAACCAAGGACCTCACAGTTGAGCAGACAATAGAAACAGTTTCTTCCTGCGCCCCACAGAGGACCTTTGATAGAGCCGTCTCTGACATAAGTCGTGACAGCACCGCTGGGCACTGGATCTGTCATTGCTTCCTGGCTGTCAAGGACACGGGTGAAGGACTGAGCCACGCAGTCGGCTCTGCTTTTGCGGCCTGTTTAGGACGGAAGCAGAAGCAGGAGAAGGAATATGGAATGACTGCTACTTTTGATGCCAGTGACGAGGGAAGGGTCATTCCGTGTCACAGCTGCCACCGAGCAAGCAGTAAGAGAGGAGAGTCTGAAACAAATCCAAGATGCCAAGAAAGTGCCAGGAGTAGGAGGGGAAGCAGAGAGTATCAGCTCCCTGTGCTCACAGACCCCTGGTGCCTTCAGCATGCCCTCCCAGGGGCCCTTCTCATCTGCCCCGAGGACCAAGCCAGTGACAGGGGTAGCTTCGCAGTCTCCTGACATTCAAGCTAATGACACTGGCTCAGCCTTCCATGGTCCTGCTGCTAAGGCAGACCTCACTGCTCTCACACCTGCAGCAATGCCTGTGTGGGAAACCAACTCTTGTGCCCAGGCCCCCAAGGCTGTGAACAAGACAACGGCAGCCCCACATTCGGGGACGGAGTGCGGTCGGTCTTCTGGTGCTGCATCTCCAGGTCTCTCCCGGGCTGGTCGCAGAAGCACTCCCGCCGAAGCTGACCGCCGGTTAGAAGAGGGGTCCGAGAGCCCTCAGCTGTCCTTCTGCAGCCAGTTGTCCAGCCTCCTCCACTCACGGCTATTACCCTACCAGCGCGGCCTTTCCCAGGAAATGCATTGCTCACCTCTCAGCCCGAGCCAGTGGGCGTGGTCCCACCCCTGCAGCCAGCCTATGTCCCTGCCCCGTCCCATCCTGTGGCCACCAGGATGCCCTACCCAGCCCTGAATGTGCCTTTGGTGGGCATCACTCCCTCCCAGACCGTAGCCAACGTGTTTGGCACCGCAGGCCACCCTCAGGCCGCCCACCCGCCTCCGTCTCCCAGGCTGGTCAAGCGGCAGACATTCCCTCAGTCTGAGACGAGCAGGGCTGCTTCCATTCCCTTCTTGAAGCCGCCTGCTCAGCACCTCAACGGTTCTACTAGTGTTAGATGATGGCAGGTTGGCGTCAGGAGATAAGCACACAGAGGTGCCTGCAGGCACCTGCCCCATGGATCTTTTGGAAGCTCAGTGGGCAGCATTAGAAAGCCAAGTCCAGGCAGCATACTAACCCCTTTCCCACCAACCCTTTCTCCAGTGACTTACAGAATTCGTTTGAAATTGAGCTTTAAGCAGTCTCTGTGGCTTCTGTATTTTGTCTGTACTTAGGCAAGGGCAGGGGCAGAGGCCAAAGGAGCAAAAGGAACTTTGTGTTTCCAATCAGTATACTTTTCACTAGTCCCAAAGGTCCCGAGGAGCATGTCCAGGCAGAGATCTGTGGGAGGTGATTTTGAGAAAAATGGGGAAAAAAGGCATTCCTAGAGAAGAGTTGTCTTCCAGTTAGGCTAAAGAAGTCAAGGAAATGTTGCCCTCTGTTCCCCCTCTGACCCCCATAGCCCCTTACAAATCTCTGACAATGGAGAGGCAGAAGTATCTGAACAAGAATCTGTATTCATAGCGTATTTACTGGAATATAAAACAGTGTGGGAAGCAAAATGATTTCCCTTGTTTTTTAAGCCATTCACCTGCCATCCTCAGTACTGGCCTGTCTTAGAGATCAAGAACATGGTGGCCTGTGCTTGGGGTGGGGACAAGAGGTAGGCTATGCAGAATTCCCAGGAGGGCACATCAGCAGCTGCCTAGCAGAGCTACATTTCAGGAGTAAAGTTGAGCTTCCACTTTAAGTAAGAATAAATATTATAAATATTTATCAAAAAAGCCAAAATCTTTATTGTTTTTCCTGGTTTAAGTCCAAATCTTTATGTTTATGCATTAAGAATATTTTAAATAGTTCTCAATATTAAAAAGTTGTAGGAGTTGTAAGTAATCTTGCCAAAGGTGAAAGGGTTAGCCGTAAGGAATTATACATGAGATTGATTTATCAGTGATGCCTACTGAAGTTGGGGGAAAGGCTGGGAATTGCAGATGGGATCCCTAGCTTATTTGGTATCATTCATTTTAAGTAGCACATTGCAGCAACAAATCATGCATATGACCAATAGAGCCACTAGGTTGGAGTTCTAAAGAAAATCTGGGGCACCTGATTGGTGAAGTTGGTTGAGCAGCGCCTCTTGGTTTCTGCTCAGGTGGTGGTCTCCTGGTGGTGAGATCCAGCACTGTGAGGGGCTCCACGCTCAGCGTGTGGAGTCGGCTTGAGATTCTTTCTCCTTCTGCCCCTCCCACTCATGCACTCTCTCTCTCTAAAATAAATAAATCTTAAAAAAAAAATCAAAGCAGTATTGTCCTCGTTTTAAAACCTATGAAATTCTAATGTCGTTATTTTAACAAAATCAATCTAAATACACTCTACAGAGAATATGTATTTTCTTTCATATACTGCTACAGTTTCCTTCTGTTAATCCTCTACTTTGTTTTGACACTAAGGTGACAATGACAATCAGAGCAATAGACTGGAGCGCAGATTACTGTTGGTTTGTCATTGAGTCTTGGTAAGTTTTGTTTTGCCCTTTAGGTTTTGTCCCCACAAGTTTTGTGGGGATGGAGATTCTAGTTTTATTAGCTGTGTGTGTCCATCCCCCGACTTGTGGAGAACAGAACATCCTCTTGCCAGTTGCAGCCACTGGACCTCTGGTAACAACTAGAGACCCCATCTCATCTTTACTTTTGAATGTTGGTCTTACAAGCAAATGTAAGTTATATATATTTATACTGATGAGAATTTATAATCTGCTGTAACAAAAACAAATATTTGTGGTAGGAAAAAAAAGACATGAACCAGTGTTAACTTTTTAAATACTTTTTGGTAACCAAATGTTATAAACTACCCTAAATCTTCAGTTGTGATAATCTACAATTATCATTAGTACGTGATTGTGAAAATCGATCAGGGAAGCACTAGCAAAATGTTAGCTTCATCTTTTCAAGGTTAGCAATAATTGGGAAACCGCAGGAATCTCATCCTTCAGTTTTGGACAAGAATTTATATGGAAGGGTAGCTCCCAATTAATTCTTTTGGCTCACGGGTGGGAAAAAAAAAAGGTTTATTGCAGGTAATCTATTTTGATTTTCCCAAGTGAAGGGCAGTAATTTGAGGACCCAAAAGACTTCTAAATTTCACCACGGTGAGTAGTTAGTTCATAAAGGAGCATAGCTTTACTTCGGTCAAGTATTGACCTTTGCTGATCACTGACATGAAACTGCGTCGTCAGCACATCAGCGGTGTTGGGAGCCAAGGACGTGTGATTCAGCGAGCAGCAAACGTCCAACAGTACCCTCTTCATATTTTCCTAAGGCGGTGAACCTCATAGGGGACCAGCTCTGAGGTCCTGGCAGGTCCCAACAGCAACTGACTCCTGACACATTGGGACGAACTCGCGGGGCAGGTGCGGCCGCCGTCCTCCGAAGTCACAGCGGCCACGCTCGCTCCCGCGGCGTCTTTGACCTTCCCCAGAGCTTGCGGCCCGCCCCCCGTGCCGGCGCACGTGGCGAGGTGGGGACAGAGCCACGCGGGGCCCGCGGAAGAGTCTCCCCGCAGCAGCACGCTGCTGACACTCCAGGCACAGGAAGCCCCCAGCCGGCTTGTCGCTGCAAGACCCTGCGGTAGGTTAGAAATCAAGCGCAGAGAGGTGACCCGGCGATCTCCCCCGCGACCTTCCAACACACACTTTCGTTTCCCTCCCTCGCCCCGCCCCCGCCTTCGCCTACTCTCCGCCCGCCGGCTCCGCTCGGTCCGGGCCAGACCTATCGGAGGGGCTGGCCAAGACCCCGAAAGAGCGACTCCATCCGGGTGCTTTGTCCGGGAGCGAGGAGGGCGTGGCTTTATGACGACCGCGGGGGGAGGGGCGAGGAGCCAACTCAGGAGCTGGGACTTCCTGACGGAGGGGGCGGTGGGAGTACGGGTTGTCCCTTGCCACGCCCCATGGAAGCTCCATACTGCACGAGAGGGGCGTCTCTAGCCTCAAACTCCCCTCTCAGGCGGGAATATCAGCTAAGAAGTCTAACGTCAAAGACTCGCCCTTTTCAGAGCTTCTTCATGCCCTCTCCTCCTGCCCGTCTTTCCTGTCTGCTTGATTGGCACGAAACACTTTCCGCCTCCAGCCTCCCCTCCCCCTCGTTCGGCGCAGGTGGTGGCGGCCCGCGCGGTGCGCAGCCGCAGAGAGTTCTGGGCGGTGCCGCTGAGGGGCGTGTGACGCAGCGGCCGTCGCTGCCATTTTAAGTTGTTTGTTCTCGCTTCCCTTCTCAAACGCGACTCTGCCCCGGACCCGGGAGGCGCGCGAGGCCGCCGCCGTTTCCGCAGCCAGCGGTTGGGGCAACGAGGCTGTGCCACCGCGGACGCTCACCCTCCGCTTCGGCTTTCCCCCTCCGGGTCTCCTCGACCTTCCTTGCTGAGAGCCGGAACCCGACCGTGGGGGGAAGAAAGACTCGAGAGCAGATGCTTGAACTGAAATAACTTTCTTTTGGGGGGTTTGCTTCGCTGACAGACCCCTTAGCGCAGGGCTCCCCTCCCCTTCCTCCCCTCCCCCTCCGCCGCCAGTACCAATCCTACCCCTCTTTCTACCTCGTTTCTCCTCTTTCTCGTCTTCGCCGCCGCCTCCGCGTCCTTCCCTCCGCCGCCGCCCGGGGCGCCGAGCCAGACTATGGGTCCCAGGTGGGGGCTGAGCGGCGGCAGCAGCGCGGGCGGCCCGGTCACAGTGCGCACTGCAGCGGGGATGGAGGGGCTCAGTTGGCTGGTGGTTTTCTCTTGACATGGCTCCTGCCCGTGCTGCGAGCAGCGCCCCCGCCGCCGCCGCCTCTTCTGCCGCCGCCACCGCTCCGCCCGCAGGCTGCGGCTAGAGGGCCCGAACCCCGCCCGAGAGTCGGTCAGTGAGTCCCGGTCTCCGCGGGGACAGGGAGGGGATTTCCCCGTCACCCGCCCCCGCCCCAGCTGCCTCAGTTCCACCCCCTGCCCCCTCGGGAAGCAAACTAATGACCCCACCCTAAACTATCCAAACTCGGGAAACATGGTCTGTTCAACGTGAGAGAGCGAGCTAATCCGGGAACTTCAGGGTTTTTTTTGGGGGGGGGGTGGGCTGGGCATACTTTCAAAAAGTAATTAATATTAACACAGCTATTTTCTTTTTTTCCCACTGATCCTTCCCATTTACCCTCTCCCGCCTACTCTACCCGGGCGGGAATTGTTTCCACGATGAAATGAGTGAAAACCTGAGTGATCCTGTGTCTCCCGTGGTGCGAGTGAGTCGCTGCCGCTGAAGGCAAAGGGTGGGGGTGGGACCTGGGGGTGGAAGGCAGGTGGTCCCTGGGCACTGCCTGGGGTCTGGGAGAAGAACCCGCCACCTTTGCCTCAGCAATGCTCGCAGGAAGATAAGTCGCACTCCCCACGGTCTTGAACGGGGGCAGATTCCTAGGGAAGGCTCCCTTGGGGAATGTAGGACTCATTGCAGGGCTGGGGGTGTTGGGATCCCGGGCATTAATCAGGTCTAACCACAGAGCCGGAAGAATAATTATATCGTATTATATACCCCCTTTCTCTCTGCCATCATGATTTTCCATGGCAGCAGCATTAGCAGCCGCCTGAGGGTGAAAATGTGGGTAATGGGGAAGTTGGTAATGACTCCGCTGTTTTTTCTCATGGCTCCTTTGGGCAACAGCTGTCCGCCCCGGGTATACACTGTAGTTGATTGCAGGGAAACCCTGTACCTCTCCCCTTCCTTCTCTGCCGATTTTGCACTTTTCTCTTTGCTCACCACCAAGTGTAATCAATAACAAGCACTGACAATACATAGCAATAGTGAAATCTGAGATAACTTAAGAATTAATTAGGTACTACAGCCATGGATCTGGCTGGGTAAAATCCGATTGGATATTTCAGTTTCATTCACCTACCCTGTTTTGGTGTTTTGGGGGGGGCTTGGGGGGTTTTCTTTTTCCCTTTTTCTTCGTAATTTTTTTTTTTTTTATTTTGGTATTTGGAAAGCAGGGATCATCACACTTCCCCTTCCCCGTTCGTTCTCATAATCCCTTCTCTAAAGAGGGGGGAACATCCGGATGGATTTTAAGGATTGGACTTGTGTCAGCTGTGTTTTATTGCACACCTAAATCCCGATAATAGGCTTTTCATTCCCCCCAAAAGCCTTTTTTTTGGCATTTAAGCCAGATGTGTTTTGCAAAAAGTTAGTTCCAAGTATTTTCTCCTCTCTTTCTTTCCTTCCTCCCCTTCCTTTTTCCCATAACCCCTAACGTTATTGTCCAAACATGACTGGACAGCAGCTTTTGTTTCTTGACCCTGTAATATGACAGTCTGCTAATATTGCCAGAAGGTGCAGTTTTTGGGTTACAGTCGTGATTTTAGCTATTCAGTCATATTAGCAGGAAAAAAATGACTTGTTTCTGTTGTACTTGAGTCTTAAGAAAAAGTGCCCATAGTTTAGTGACAATTTCCAAAGGCTTTAGTACCACCTGTATTTCAAAATGGGGGACCCAAACTCCCGGAAGAAACAAGCTCTGAACAGACTACGTGCTCAGCTTAGAAAGAAAAAAGAATCTCTAGCTGACCAGTTTGACTTCAAGATGTATATTGCCTTTGTATTCAAGGAGAAGGTAATTTAAAATTCTTAATGTGAATTAGCACAAGTGATTTTTGTAAGTGTATATTAAGTTATTTGTTACCCGTAAATAACTATATATTAGGTTAATCTACGTGTGCGCTTTAACCTGAACCCTCCCGGGTAGTTCTCTCCAGGTGTAGTTGCGGTATAACTACGAATGGAAGGCTTGGGTACTCCTTGGGTTGGAAATGATCTAAAGCTTGGTAGGGTCCTTTTTTTAGGTAACCTGGGGTGAGCAACATTGTGAAACTCTCACTACGTTTCACAAGAAATTTCATGTATGTGGAGTTACATAGAGAATATTATAGCTGAATTTAAAGATTGTCTAAAGTATAAAGTGGGATAGTTGAAAGTGGTGAATTAGAATCAAAATGTTTATATGCTGAAATAGTCTGTTCAACTTCATGCTAAAGGTACCTTTTCTCATGGTACATTTGATGAAATACAGTACACTTTAATTTTTAGGAACAATTACATACTGAAATGGTTAATTTGTGTTTAAAAGTGCAATTTATTAAAAGGACCTGAAGAGGCAATTTAAACTTTGAGGTGGGTGGCGAACATAATCAGGATTAGTTTCACAATTAAATAGCAAATAAGGAGTTGTGAGTAGTCAAGGAGAACACGATAAAAGTATTTTTAAATCTGTTTGACATGAGATTAGGTTATGAATAAAAGGAAATACTATGATTTTTGCACTTAAGTTGTGAGCTCATTTCAAATTAGAAATATATTCTTAGTGTGGTATGTACTTAATGCTTGGAAGTTTCCCGAGTATTTATCCCATTCTTAACTCTTTTATGAAAGAGTTTATTAGTACAGGCATTCCTCAGTTTTATTGCACTTCACTTTATTGCGCTTTGTGGATATTTTGGTTTTTACAAATGGAAGGTTTGTGGCAACCCTGGGTTGACTAAGTCCATCAGCGTCATTTTCCAACAGCATTTGCTTACTTTACGTGTCTCTGCCACATTTTGGTAATTCTTGAAATGTTTTAGGCTTTTTTATTAATGTATTTGTTACGGTGACCCATGATCAGTTATTACAAGTTACTGAAATCATATGGTTAACATTTTTTAGCATTATTTTTCAATTAAGATATGTACATTTTTTTTTGGACATAAATGCTTATTGCACACTTAATAGATTACAGTGTAGAGTAAACATACTTTTTATATGCCCTGGGAAACCAAAAAAGTTAATTCAACTCCCTGTGATATTTGCTTTATTGCTGTGGTCTGGAACTGAACCCGCGATATCTCCAAGGTATGCCTGTGTTTAAGAATGCTCTTAGCAGCTCTAGTATAGCATTGTAAAGTGGTTTCACAGTGGTTTGTTTTGAAGTGATTATCCCAAGATTGGGTAGTACCAGGGATTTACTTCTCCATTCTGTCTTCTCGTTAATACGTTGACTGCAGAATTGATACGATCAGATTTTAACTGAGGATATTATAATTTAAGTTCACTAGAAATACAAGATGCAGGTGGTGAGATGAGTTTTTGGTATTTAATATATGAGATGCACCAAGTTGTACCATCTAGTTCTTTAACACCATAAAACCCCGTTGTTACTCGTAGGAATGGACAGTATGCAGACAATTGTCCTGAGTAGTACATGAGTTTTATATCCTAAATTGATGAGCACTTGGTCACAACTAAATGTGAAACTCAATTTGGTAGACTTTTTTTTTTTTCTTGTTTCATATATTGACAGTGGTTATATAATATCTAAAAGGAGTAACAGAACTTAACCCATTTAAGGAGTTAAAAAAATGTTAATTTGGATAGCTTTGTTTTTAAACTGCTGAGATTTTAATTTAGCTGTATGTAGAGACAGTTAAATGAAAGTACATCAAGAGTAAATCACTTTTTTTTAAACATTAGGTAGGTCTAGTGTTTGTTTCTCAGTGTTTAAGAAACACTGTTTAAAATAAGTTACCTGTTATGGATACCATGATACTATAATACCATGCAGTAAAACATTCTGATAATAGCCTATTTGTGTGTGGTTGGGGTAATGGGGCTTGGGGAAATAACAGAAGGATCCACCTATTTGAAAATCTGTACAAAAATTACCTGAGTTAATAATTTTGCTGAGTTAGAGTAAAGGTACATGATACTGTAATATGAACTGGGTGTTAAAAGACAATGTGCTACTGGTGGGTTAATACACCTTTTTTTTTTTTTGCTTTTAGAAGAAAAAATCAGCACTTTTTGAAGTGTCTGAGGTTATACCAGTTATGACAAATAATTACGAAGAAAATATCCTGAAAGGTGTGCGAGAATCCAGCTATTCCTTGGAAAGTTCCATAGAGCTTTTACAGAAGGATGTGGTACAGCTCCATGCTCCTCGATACCAGTCTATGAGAAGGGTAAGTTCTGTTTTTCAGTCTTGATTTGGTAAGTTTTTGTGAGTTAAACTTGCATTTTTTTCCCCTAAGTATGGGTAGTTACTATGATCACGAATTAACTTCAGGGGCACCTGGGTGGCTCAGTCTGTTACGCAGCTGCCTTCAGCTCAGGCCTAAAATCTTTTTTTAAGTTGATTTCAGATAAAACATGGATAACTTTTCTTCTGTGGTATTATGCTGATAATGGTGTGTATTATTGCTGGGAATAATGTTTTATATTACTGTTCATTAGATTTTTCTTTTTGGGGCGAGAACTAACATCATGCTCCTTATAAATAAGAAACTTTAGAAGGAATTATTGTTCCCAACCTTCTTTAAACTTCTGTAACTCAATTGGAATTTAAAATGAACATACTTGAAAAGACATCCTCATAATTACTGGGGTTGGAGAAGGCTAGAGAGAACCATGTACTGGTCTGAAAAAGGTTTATTGGCCTTGGAAAATTAATACACTGGACTATGATAAGGAACAAGAATGGAAAAAATAGTTTTCTGTAAGTATATAATAAAAATAGCATTTCAGCTGTAATAAGAATGTAATGTTAGAAGTTTCAAGACACCTTTGCTTAAATATTAACTAGGTTCTGATTTTTAAGAATGGAAATAAAAATACAGGGACTTTACAAGGAAAAAAAAACCAGCTTCTGTTGGAGTCTTCACCATGTGCTGATTAATTTAGGTCTTGGTGTGAGGAACATTGGACTGGGTGGCTATAGGTGGACTCTGCAAGATAAAAATTAGAATTAGGCCATGAGGTATTCAGATTATATACTGTCCTGTTACCTCTTGGTATATAAAATGATTCATAGTGGACCTTTTGTACTTGTGAAATGTTTCTATAATCAGACCTATAATTTGTGACATACCTTGTTACAGCTTTGTTCTTTTGAAAGTAATTTTTTTTAATCCTTTTATAGGATGTAATTGGCTGTACTCAGGAGATGGATTTCATTCTTTGGCCTCGGAATGATATTGAGAAAATTGTCTGTCTCCTGTTTTCTAGGTGGAAGGAATCTGATGAGCCTTTTAGGCCTGTTCAGGTATTTTATTCTAAGTGTGGTGTGCGCCGAGTAAAAACTCCTGGAATAGGGCCTAACTTAAAATTTTGGGGAATATGCATTATTCTAATCAGTTTTTTACTTCATAAGTTGCTCCCATCTGTTTGAATATTGTGATTACAAGAGGAGAAAGCATTTGGGTGACAGAATCTCTTGAGAATGAGGTAGTCCTAAGTACCCCAGTGTGTCTTCAAAATAATGGCCAGAGAAAATCTTTCAGGGTAAATGTTTGTTGATTTGTCGAAGGGCCTATGAATGAACTTGAGAAGATCTCTCCCCCGCACCATCCAGCTCTCTAAGGAGTCTGATCTGAGAAATGCCTTCAGAAACCCTTTCCCAGGGGCGCCTGGGTGGCTCAGTCGGTTCAGCATCTGCTGCTCCCTCCCCTCCTGCCCCTCCCCTACTCATTCTCCCTCCCTCTCTCTCTCAGAGAAATAGTCTTTTAAAAAAATCATTTTCCAAAAATAGATTTGTGTATAAAACTATACAGGAGATACGTATCGTTAATCTGGTAGTGGTTCTTAGTAATCTTGACATTGTGCTAACATTTGGACTTGTCATCTGAGGTACTAGATAATTTCCAGTTTTTAAGAGCATTTGCCCAAGTGTCAATGATCCTAATTTTATTTATGATACTTTCATATGCATAAGAGAAAGTACAATAATATTCACCAAAATGTTAGTCATGGTTAATTCTACGTCAGGTAGCTAACTGTGTGTGTGTGTGTGTGTACACACATATTTCATAGCTCTACAATGATCATACTTTGGTTTACAATCAGAAACCTAAATAAAGACATTTAAAGACTCATTTTAAGCATACTAAACTACATGTTAGAATGCCTATTTTAGTCTGATTGCTTAGAAATAATAAAAGTTACTGAAAAAATTTGCATTCATCCATTACTATGAACCATCTTTATGGTACTTTGTGTATGATAGACAAGTCGGTATACTTCCCCTGTCCCCATGGTAATGTTCCTACCCATCAGCTCAAATTATTATTCCTTTTTCTAAGATTCACTTGACAGAAATAAGTTCTAAAGATAACATAAAACCTAAATATAGGTAAAAGTATTCTGTATTTATGTCTGTAGTGGACAATATCTGACTCACATGAACTTGTTGGAGAATAGAAGTTGGATATAAAAAGCAGGAAGACAGGAATGGTAAGGCATGTTTATCAGAGCAGGTCTTGCACCTCAACTGAGAGGCACTCTTAGGATTTTTACTATTTTTTTAATTCAGAAATTTCCATTGAAAAACAATTTGGTGCCTTACTCATATTTTTCTTAATTTTTCTTTTTCTAAGATTTTATTTATTTATTTGACAGACAGAGCAAGAGAGGGAACACAAGCAGGGGGAGTGGGGGAGGGAGAAGCAGGCTCCCCACTGAGCAGGGAGCCCGATGTGGGGCTTGATCCCAGGACCCCGGGACCTTTGACCGGAGCCAAAGGCAGATGCTTAATGACTGAGCCACCCAGGGGCCCCTTTTAAAATTTCTAATACTGTGTCTTTCCACCTGAGACATTATTTGGAATAGTTGTTAAAATAGTCTTGTTTCAAGTTAAGTCCTACTTTTTGAAATCATGGCTGTTTATTGAGTGTTGACTGTGCTAGACTGTCTCCTGAATACTTTATATACATTTAATCTTCATCCTTATAAGAACTGTGCAGGTAGGAACCTCCTTTTCCACAGGAAGAAACGGAGGCACTTAGAGTTTAGGTAAACAGCACAAGATCATGTAGTTAAGTGGCAGTCAAGACATAAATCCTGTAAAGTTTATGCTCTTAAAATGCTACTCTGTACTGTGGGAAGTGCCCTGTATTATGAAAACCTTAAATTATGGACTGAATATAAGCACTATGTAGGATAGAGGTAATATCGTGTAATTTTAGAGTTCAACTACAGGAAACAAGTTCAGTGTAAAGATGAATTTACTTCCCCGGTAGTTTAAGATAAATGAGTATCCGGATCCTGAATGGGAAGCCTTAAATATAAATAACTTAGTTCTTAAGGCAAATGAGAAAAGGAAAGGTCAACTTTAACTTGAAAACTTTTTTTTTTGTCTTGAAGCACTTGAAAATATAGATAGTAATGAGATTTAGTTAGGAACCAGAGTAAAGGTTGTTTCAATAACGAGTTCCTGCTATATTCAGAGTACTATGGAGTACTGGGAGGTGCTATCAAAATATCTCTTATTTCCTCTCTATCCGTAAATGCTCTTGCTGCAGGGTAGTTTTTAATCACACTATTCAAATATTTTGTTATTTCTGGGCATTGCTTTCATGCCGCTTTAATGAGAGTTTTCTTTTTGGTGTGGACTATTCCTTCCCAAACCTTTGTATATTTACTAGGGAGACAGTGCATCAGCAGGAGCCAGGGGCAGAGAGTGAGGGACAAGTAGATTCACTGATGAGCACAGAGCAGAGCCGGACGTCAGGGCTCGATCCCAGGACCCTGAGATCATGATCTGCACTGAAGTCAAATGCTTAACCGACAGAGCCACCTGGGTGCCCCAGGCAGTAGTCTGATTTTTGACACGTGTTTATGTCGGTCCTGTTCCAGGAATGGCATTTCCCAAATTACCTTTTCTGAGTGCTTTCCCCAGGGAAAATTACTGTCCTCTTTGAAGGCCCAATCCAAAATCACCTGCTAATACTGCCCACAGGGTCTACTGTGTTAGTTATTTCTCCCTTCTTCACATAGCACTTTGAAGATAACCCATTTTAGGGTTTTACAAATAACGACATCTTATTCTAGGAAAGATCTGAAGCAAGTTAGGTTTTATATTTGCATGTGCTTTGCCCTTTTGGGCAGTATAAGAGCCCCTTAAGGGTGGGATAACCTTGTTCATATTGTTTGGTATTTAATGACATTCTTTTCATATACTAAGAATTCAATAAATATTTGAATTTGTGCAGAGGTACAATTGAATATCATATTTACACAGTCGTTTGTAGGGAATAGTGTATTTTATGGCTTGAAAGAAAAGCTGGGTGCTAAAAATTCTAGATGGCAGAACTGATGATTTTTCCATGTTAGTATTTCCTGTAGTCTTTGACATAATGAGAGAATAAAAACTGAATCAAATGGACTGACAGTCTTTTTTTTTTAATAATTCAACATTATCTAAGTATGAGGTTCTTTAAAATTTCTGTTTCTTGAATTCTCCATTAGCCTAGTCATTTCACCCAGCATTTGGTCTCCGCAGACATTTTGTGGGAGGATAGAGTTGATCTTCCTCATGTTAAAAGAGTAAAAGACTGTTCTAATTTGGTAATAGTTCTTCATAACTTAAATTTTTTTTTTTTTAAAGATTTTATTTATTTGAGAGAGAGCGAGCGAGCACATGAGATGGGGGAGGGTCAGAGGAAGAAGCAGACTCCCTGCTGAGCAGGGAGCCCGATGTGGGACTCGATCCCGGGACTCCAGGATCATGACCCGAGCCGAAGGCAGTTGCTTAACCAACTGAGCCACCCAGGCGCCCCCATAACTTAAAATTTTTTTAATCTGAAAAATGCATAACATTTTAAAAAAATTTTGAGGGGTTCATATATCCTCAAGCCCATCTGTATGAGGACTGGAACTATATTTCAGGTGTGGGCTTTAAAGCCCCGCTGTTTCATTTCATTAACTGTTTTGATGGGTTAGAACCCATTTATTTTACAGGAGAGGAAGGTGAAGTTTAGAAAAGTTAGGGGATATGTACAAGGTCACATAAGTAGTGAGATGTGCAGCTAAGATTGGAATATATTTCTTTGCAAAAGCCATCCATAGTGGGTGTTCTTTGTAAATAGAAAGGAGGGAGATGTCATTGCGCTTGAAGTAGTAAGTTGGGAGTCTTGAGCAAAATAGGTTTGAAAAGTCTCGTTTTAGAGGCATCTGGGTGGCTCCGTCGGCTAATCGTCTGACTCTTTATTTCAGCTCATGTCATCATCTAAGGGTCTTGAGATTGGACTCAGCTCAGTGGGGAGTCTGCTTGAGATTATTCTGTCTCTTTCCTCTTCCTCCCGCCCCCCCATGTGCGCACTCTGTCTCCCTCTCTCAAAAAAAGAAAGAAAATCTTGTTTTATAGAATTTGACCTAAAATCATTGAGAATTAGGATCTAGTCACTCTGATGCAGAGTTTTTCTTGAAGGTCAAATTCTATAATGGAGTGCTGTTCACTAGAACTTTCTGTGATGAAGGAATATATCTCAGTAGACTGTTCAGAATGGTGGCCACTGGCCACATGGGATTATTGAGCATTTGAAATGTGGCTAGAGTTACTGAATTTAGAGAACTGAATTTTAAATTGCATTTAATGAATTAAATTTAAGTAGGCACGATTGGCTGCCATATTGGACAGCACATGGATGTAATAGATGTTTCAGGTAGGGTAACATCTTTGTAGTTACATGTAAATGTATTTCTTCCTTAGGCCAAATTTGAGTTTCATCACGGTGACTATGAAAAACAGTTTCTGCATGTACTGAGCCGCAAGGACAAGACTGGAATTGTTGTCAACAATCCTAACCAGTCCGTGTTTCTCTTCATTGACAGACAGCACTTGCAGGTAAGCTTTGTTTGTTTAACGACTTAACAGCTCATTTAAAAAGCTCATTTGTTAGCAAACTATTTTCTATCTATGTTAATTCTGTTTTGTCACTTTAACGCTGCATTATTTTTGAAGTTACTTAAAAATCAAACAGCTATCCTGGGCCTCACCCTAGAACAGTGGCTCCCAAATTTTGCTGCATAGTAGAACTACCTGGGAGCTTTTAAACGTCATGATTCCAGTGTGCAGTAGAGTTTAAGAAACGCTCCTATAGAGCTTTTCTAATGTAAAGTATGGTCAACAAGATGGTAACAGATCCTTAAATATATAGGATCTCATGCCCTACTCCAGTCCTACTCGGTCAGAGAATCAATGTTTGGAAGAAAATCCTTAGATGAGTAGTAACACATTTTGAGAAGCTTTGGCCCTAGACCTTTTTAAATAAAAATCTAAAGGGATGAAGTATATCTGTATTTAAAAGATCCACATGTGCTTTATTTTTTTATTTTAAACACTAAAATAGTCCTCCTAATTCATTAATTTATCTGATAGGAGTTCATAGTTTAAAAATTATTTTACATACAATTTCTGAAGATCAGACCAAAATTGAGAATGCTACATTTAAACACTCTACTTATTTTTTAATTTATTTACTTTATAGCTTTATTGAGTTATTATTGGCATATAACCTGTGTATCTACTTTTTTTAACAATTAATTTACTTATTTAATGTTCCATGATTCATTGTTTGTGTATAACACCCAGTGCTCCACGCAATGCATGCTCTCCTTAATACCCATCACCAGGCTAACCCATCCCTCCACCCCCCTCCCCTCTAGAACTCTCAGTTTGTTTTTCAGAGTCTCCACATGTGTTTTAAATAAGCACTTCCAATTTAAGCAATCCAGGTATTCCAGATTATTTTTTATTCTCTAGAACATTGTTTTCATCAACCTAAATCTGAATATCCTCACTTGAAATTTATAACAGATATCTTGTTAAAAATAATTTAAAAAATAGCAATTTAATTACCATTCATTCAGCGAAGGAGTGCCTATTTACTGTGTGCCGGGCACTGTACACTGTGAACAAGACAGAAATTCTCCATTATGGGGGAGGCAGTAGGGCAGAACAGTATGCAGTCAGTGAGCGCTCAGAGGAAGTGGGTGCGGATGTGTAAGCTGTTGGGTATGAACTCTGATGGTGACACCAGAGGAGGCCTTTCTGCGGAGGCAGTTTAAAGACTTTTGGAAGAGTATTTGTGATACTAATTTTGATTTTTTTTTTTTTGAGATTTTATTTATTTGAGAGAGAGCAGGAACAGGGAGAGGGAGAATCGGACTCCCTGCTGAGCAGGGAGCCCGATGCAGGGCTCAATCCCAGGACCCTGAGATCATGACCTGAGCTGAAGGCAGACACTTCACTGACTGAGCCATCCAGGCGCCCCTAATTTTGCATTTTAGAGCATGGGTTTATTTTTACTTAGTCTGCAAGGTAATAAAAAATACAGGTGAATCATACTGTTGTGTCCAAGGAGCGGAAGACCCCTTGACAAGATTACACATGGATTTTGTATCTTGTAAGAAAGTTCTAAGTAAATATGGTATTATAGGTACAAATATGAGCTGTGGGAATTACAGAAGAACGTTGATTTCAGTGAAGGCATTTCATAAAACAGAAAAACCATGACTTGGTTGGGTTTTGGGCGTTTTCTTTTGCATATTTCTTCTTTACCTTAGCTCTCCTATGGTGGATATTTTTAAGTTGCCTTATTTTTCATTTTTAACTACTTACGTACTTTGGGTAATTTATTGAGATAATACTGTATAGCAGGCTATTGACTTACATTATGGATTCTACAACAGAGACTTTTAGTCTTAGAAGATTTAATAATGACTATATACTAATGTAGAAACTTCATTTTCCTGCAAATATATAGATCAGTAATATATAGAAATGACTGGTGACTTGGAGTTACTTTGTTAAATAAGTAGTAAGTTGTCTCTTGTTTTATATCAAGGTTGATGTTTTCTGTGCTTTTGAAGCAAATAGCTTCAATCCTTTTATTTATTTATTTTTTTAAAGATTTTATTTATTTGTCCATGAGAGACAGAGGAGGAGAGAGAGAGAGGGAGTGAGAGAGAGAGAGAGAGAGAGAGAGAAGCAGAGGGAGAAGCAGGCTCCCAAGGAGCAGGGAGCCCGATGCGGGATTCGAACCCAGGACCCTGGGATCATGACCTGAGCCGAAGGCAGACGCTTAACCATCTGAGCCACCCAGGCGCCCTAGCTTCAATCCTTTTAAAGAAAAGAAAATTGTAAGCTCATAAACTAATAAATTTGGAATGTAGGTAGGGTGACCAGCAGTCAGTCTGTCTGGAATGCCCTGGTTTTTGCACTGAAGTCCCAAGTCCTAGAAACCTCAATCCCCAGGGCAAGGTGGGATGGCTGGTGTCACACCCTCATTGTAGATGCATTTGGTCTTCATTGCTCTTAGGTCCCCCTTCTTTCAGGTTCTGTTCTTAATCTTCATAAACTGGAGATCTGTGGCCATATTTATTTGTGCTATATAGAAGAATGAGGGAACTGATAGGAGAGTGGCCAACACAGAGCCTGTTATGTATCAGATGGGAAGAGCTTTACAAGTAGGAGCTCACTTAATCCTCACAACAATTCTGTGAGTTGTAGATCTTATTACTCCTGTTTTATAGGTGAGGAAATCAGGAAACTAAAGAACTTGATCATCTAGCAGAGATCTTGTGTCCTTTATCAAAACATAAGATGTATGAAAAGAGGGGCGCCTGGGTGGCTCAGTTGTTAAGCGTCTGCCTTCGGCTCAGGTCATGGTCCCAGGGTCCTGGGATCGAGCCCCGCATCGGGCTCCCTTCTCTGCGGGAAGCCTGCTTCTCCCTCTTCCACTCACCCTGCTTGTGTTCCCTCTCTTGCTTTGTCCCTGTCTGTCAAATAAATGAATAAAATCTTAAAAAAAAAAAAAAGTACGGAAAGAGCTAGACCAAATGATAATTTTGGATGGGCAAGTGGTAGAGAGGCACGTTCCTGGAGTCTGGATTCTAATCCACATGCAGCCTTCTACTGGCTATGAAATCTTCTGTGAGCATGTTCTTTGTTGAGTAAATGATAAAAGGTTGTAACATTGAAAATGAAAAAAAAATGTGTAATGCATAGGTTCATTACATATATAGACTGCTTTTGCCTTTTTTTAAGAGGTGCTATGGTGAAAAGTAGTTCTTTGAAGGCGGGTCAGGGAGTGGCTTCCATTCACTAGCAGTGGTGATTTGTGAAGGCACCTAGCACATTTTGCCGTCAGTCAGATGTGAAATAGTAATAGTGATGGTAATACCTTTGCTTTCTTCCAGTCCTTTACCCTAAGGTTATGCTTCAGTCTTTTCTTTTTTACTTGTTTCTTACCTTTTCTCTTCTACTCTGACATCATTTCTTGTCTTTTCTGTATACAGACCACGACTTCATGCCTCTATTTAGATAATCTGTCTCTGTGAAATGTCTTTAACCTTACTTTCCATTAGCAAGTTGTCATGGTTGACTTTCTGGACCTTAAAATTTTTTGTTTTGAATAAATTCTCTAAACATTTAGTTTATAATCATGTTTATTCTTTCTGTATTTTATATGGTAAGGTTTTGTCTTCCTGACTAGATTGAGGTCCCTGTGGGGTACAGACCATAATTTATTCCCTTACTCTGTATGCTTTGTTACTGTGTCCATAAGTGCTTTATACAATTGTGGGAGAGTGACTTCATGTGACGATCAGTTATGTTAAAGCCTTATTAAGATTATTAAAATTATTCCCCTTTCAGACTCCAAAAAACAAAGCTACGATCTTCAAGTTATGCAGCATCTGCCTCTACCTGCCACAGGAGCAGCTTACCCACTGGGCAGTTGGCACCATAGAGGACCACCTCCATCCTTACATGCCAGAGTAGAGTGCTGACCAGCAAAATGGGCAAGATCAGAGAGTGCAGCAGCATTGGTTTTCTTGTTTTCTTACACTTTATTCTTTCAGAGTTTAAAGAAAATGGACTCATGCACAGAACACTATGCATTTTGAAACTTGTTCATCCTGGATTTTTTTTTTTTTTTATTTGTGTCTCAGAACTTAAAAAATTAGGTGTCTTCTGCACGGACTGTGTGAAAGAAGATGCTTTGCATATTTGCTGCACTGCATTAGCATCTTACTAAAAATGTGAAATGAAAGGACTATTGTTCACTGAAATGCTTAAATGTATCTGAAAGCACAAGGTGATACTCATTTTTGATGGTCTTTCCATTTGTGCTGGTTTTTGCCTCTTTAACATCTGTCAGCAGTATTTAGAGGGTGAGAAGTGAATGTAAAAGGTATAAATAACATTTAAAAAAACTTAATAGCTTTGCTGTAATCACCGTTGTTCCAGAGCACTCTCAGATTCACTCTAATGATCAGAAGTGGTTGTTTAAAAAAAAAATACATAGATACACAACCACGGGAAAGAAATCTTAAATGGGGGGAAAAAAAGCATCTCATTGTAGGCATTTTTGCCTCATGTTTTACTGGGCCATATTTGTTTCCTGGTACTCATAAATGTATGTGTTTTATTTCCAGATCTCTTTCCCCAAGTTGCTGTTCCAAGAGTATTCTGCTGAATGTGGATACAGTTTATACACATTAAAGCAGATCTGGAGTCTGAAGTAGCTAAAGCAGCTATAAAACTGAGAAATACATTCATAGCTGCAGAAACCATGATAGGTAGAGGACTTTCCTTTTTGGTTTTTGTTTTTTGGTTTTAAAGAGATTTTTATTACAAAGAAAGAAAATCCAGTGAATTGTGCAGAAATACTGGTTTCTACACCATCCTAAAGGAAAACTTATGAGGGTTTTTTCGAGTAGAAAAAAAGTTACTGAAGTTGGGATCTAAAATTGTTAAAAAACCATTGAGTGTCAAAGCTCTAAAAGCAGAACTCATTTTGTGCAATGAACATAAGGAAAGACTACTGTATAGGTTTTTGGGTTTTGTTTTGTTTTTTTTCTTTTTAATGAAGAAAAGCTTTGCTTAAGGGTTGCATACTTTTATGGAGTAAATCTGAATGATCCTACTCCTTTGGAGTAAAACTTAGTGCTTACTGGTTTCCAATTGTATTTAGCTTCTGGTTGGAATTGGAAAAAATGAAAACCTAAATAAAATAGGTGAAAGTTCCCTGACTATTCAGGTGAATACACAAAACTGGATGTGGTAACTTTTTTTTCCAATTCAATGGTAAGTGTTACTGATGACCTTGGGGGTTATTTTACAGTCCATAGTTAAACGGCCAATTCGGAAGGACAAAAAATGGCAGATGCGTTTGTGATTTTAGGAATAGGAATCAAAGACATTTTGTCAGCTTTAACAGCAGGTTGGCTTGTTCCCTGCCTCATGGAAAAGAAAAATAGATTTTGTAGGCTCCACACCCAAGGTGGGGCTCGAGCTCATGACCCCAAGATCAAGAATCACAGGCTTCACTGACTGAGCCAGACAGGTGCCTCAGAAAAATATTCTTTATTTCAAAAGGCTTTCACATGTTTTCTCATCAATTGAAAATTAGAATCTATTTGAACCAATGCCTGTGAATGTTTATCATGGGCAGTTCCTGTTCAAAACTCTGGTCTTACGAGTGGAAAGAGCTACAGAGGTTTAGTTAACTTACCCAAGCTCACATCCAGAGCAAGGAAGGATTTAAGACCAGGCTGGCTGGCTCTGTAGAATCTAAGCTCTTAACTGTTCTACTATATTGAATTATACTTGCTGTAGTTATTAAGTCAGGCACTTTAGCAGCCCTTGGTTTTTATTTTAGAATAAATTTAGAGAAGTTGTTAATAGAAAGCTCCTGTATAACCTTTACCCATGTCTTAGCCACATTTTTCCCCTACTTTTTCTACATATATTTATACATTTATTCTGAACCATTTGAGAGTTGGGTACATACATCATGCATACATCTTTACTCCTTACCCCCTAGTACTTAGCATATGTCCCAAGTACAAGGATATTCTTGCATAACCACAGTAAAGTTACCAGATTCAGGAAATTAACACTGATATACCTTAATTTATCGTCCATATTCCAGTTCTGTTAATTGTTCTAATATTCTCAGGTCCTATCCTAATATCCTGTGTTTTTTAATCCCCCTACCATTCACTACAGGACCCTTGCATTTAGTTGTCAAATCTCTAGTCTCTAAGTGGCCTTTGTTTAATGACTTTAAGATGACAGACTGAGTGAAAGCACAGGCAGGGGGAGCAGCAGGCTCTCCGCTGAGCAAGGAGCCAGATGTGGGACTTGATCCCAAGACTCTAGGATCATGACCTGAGCCGAAGGCAGATGCTTAACCAACTGAGCCACCCAGGCACCCCTGACCTTGACATTTTTTAAAAGTAGGCTTAATGTTTTAAAATAGAAAGTGTTCCTCATTTTGCATTTGAACGATGTTTCTTCATGGTTAAATTTGGGATTATGCACTCTGGCCAGTACCCAATTCAAGTGACCTCACTCTTTCCAGTTAGTATCCAGAAATGCACTGTCACTTTGCTCTTGGTTGATGTTAATTTTGATTGGTCAAAGTCGTGTCCTGTTTCTACATTGTATAGTTAAAATTTTTCTCCTTGCAATTAAGAAGCAATCTGGGAAACAACATGAACATGCCCTGCTCTTTATCAGAAGCACCACTGATGATTTCTGATTTTTGCCGTAACCAATCTTTTTTTTTTTTTACGATTTTATTTTTGACAGAGAGTACAAGCAGGGAAAGCAGCAGGCAGAGGGAGAAGCAGGCTCCCTGCTGGGGAGGGGGGGCTCGATCCAGGACCCTGGAATCATGACCTGAGCCGAAGGCAGACGCTTAACCGTCTGAGTCACCCAGACGCCCCTGCTGTAACCACATGACAGCTGCAAAATGGTTAATATCTACCCCTCCCCTCCACACTGAGCAGCATTCTGTCATGAGGAGCCCTCCTGTCTCTGCCACGTGTTATCTACCTCAGTGATATGTGATAGACCAATTTTTTTCTCAGTGCTGCAGAGTTTGCATCCTCTTAAACCATTTTCTTGAACACTTGGCTTACTTTCAAGCACAAGATATGTTAACGTCAATTTCCCTGTCCCAGTCTCCCAGTCCTGAAATCAGCTGTTTTTCTCCAAGAAGCCCAGGTTCCTTTTAGAGGGAAATATTAGAAGTTAAAAACTGGGTGCCCGCCCTGTGTGCTCACTGCTACTGGGAGGTCTACTTCTGTCCTCTGAGCAGAGAGCAGCATGACAAGCAAAGGATAAATTAGCATTTAACTGGATAGTGTTTCCAAATTTAAAGTTGCTTCCTATATCTCTCATAGCTTAATACTGGACTTTAGTTTTAAAGTAATCTCATCTCAAAATGGTCTTGCTGGCTTCGCTTTACCTAAGTTTTCAGAAACCCTTTCAGCTAAGAATTTTTTTCGTCCAAGTATCATCTATATAAGATTACAAACTGAAGAGGTTTAAAATCACAAATAGAGACAGTCCCATCCTATGTCCCATTTGGTTCCTATGTCATTTTCCCCAAAGAAAATAATTAACTATTTCTGGTTGTGCTAATTTATTTTGAAAGTTACATTTGTTCAAGTCAAATTTATGCTTGGTCTTTATTGTTGGGTGTCTGAGCCAAACTGCTGGGCTTGGTTTCCCAGGTGTTTTGTGTGTCTGCCTTGTGCTACTAATTTTCCCGTGGTCTTGTTCATCAGATCCACAGAGGCAAATGCAAGTGTTTTCCCTTGCTTCAGAACATGCGCTGTTATTACTATGTCTTCTCCTATTTTAGCAGGTGACATGTACCTTGAAGGGAAACAGATTTAAATATAGTTAACAGCAAATAATTTTTTACTTTTTCAATTTTTAAAAATTTTTAACAGCAATTTTTTAAGAAGGGAAGTTGTGTGCATCTTTTAACAGCCACCTTTTGTGTTGCTTATTTTCCTCAAAGTAGTTTAGGAATAGTATCAGTAAACTTTCTGTCCTATCAAATTTGAATGGCTGGTCCTTGACCAAGTTCATCTTCCCCATTCCATATCCACACAAGTTTCTTTTCCCATAAATATGGGAAGGCGTCCCCCCTCATGCCTTTAAGTTTCCCACCTCCTGTTTATTTGGGGCTGGTGAAAGATTTTCTCCAGCTTTTATTTAATCTACTTAGCTTCCCTGGTGAAGTATTGCCTGGTGTCTATACTGTAGGTTCCCCCTTACCTGCGGTCCAGAAGGAAGCAGATGATCCTCCTGATCTATTGTCAGAAGGTCAACAGTAGCCTAATGCTGCACCCCTGCCTGTCACTCCCCTCAATTCATGTAGGCATTGCAGCTCATGTCCTCACTAGAAGGGTGCGCACAGTACAAGGTAATTTTAGAGAGAGACCACATTTGTATAGCATCACAGTATGTTAACACTTGTTCTACTATCGTTGTTAATCTTACTGTGCCTGGTTTATAAACTTTATCACAGGTATGTATGTATAGGGAAAAACATATATATATATATGCATAATGGGTTGGGTACTATCTGTGATTTCAGGCATCCACTGGGGGTCTTGGAATGTAGCCCTGGGGGTAAGAAGGGGACTACTGTATCTTATATCAATATTTAGGATTCACTCAACTGCACTGGATTAAATTCTGCACTTTACTGCACTCAAAATGATTTAATGTAAGAACTGTAAGAATTGATATGAGGCCCTTAGAATCCTGGTGATGAGTTGAATATATTTAAGAGACACTTCCCTACCTATATTAGTCATAAGCTGTCACTCATTTATTTTTGAAATATCTACAGTAAATCTTTGAGACTGTTTCTGTTCATGGGAGTCAGTTTTTGAAGCTCAGGCAGTTTTTTATTGTGACCAATACTTTGACCACACATTTGTGGAAACTATGTTTGACTTACTAAAGATTCTTTAGGCTTATGAGAGCAGTAGTATCTCAGAAGATCATGAGATGCAGTGCTCAGTTTGAAGACCTCAACTCTTAATAGAGGCTCCTGAGGCAAAGTGGAGTCATCTGCTGGCCTGACCCCTCACCGTGGGGACTAAGGTAAGGACTGCAGAATGTGCTCACCAGCACAATAGGCAGAACCTCTGTAGATCTTAATTTCAAGAGCATTTGCCTCTTGTCCTGTGATTTGCTTATTGCACCCTCAATTTATTCCTATGGTAAAGAAGGGCTGAATTTTCTAAAGGTACCTAATAAAAGATTTAGACTGTTTAAAAATCTGATAACTGACATTCTTTCCATTGCCCTCATGTTGCATAACATTGGCTTTCCCCCCCAGTCGCTGCCAACAAAAGTCATTGTTCTGTTGTGTAGGTGGAAAAAGCAGTTGTCTTAAAACTAAACCCCTGGGCGCTGCACTCTATTGGTGGGACCAGCAGTGGTACTGGTTAATGCTGGAAGCGAATTTCTCACACTGGAAAGTGGATGACCCCCTGCAGGCATTGTCACAGTGGTGGGTGACAGCCTGACCTCTGGGGGGCTGCGTCCTGATCATGTAGTTTATGTCTGCAGAGCACGTTCGAGGTTGCAAGGAAACATACAGGATTGCAAAACTGGACATCTGTCTTCACCTTGTTACAAGGCAGTGTATACTTTATGAAGGTTTATCCAACTTCTCTTTGAATTCTATTCAGGCTTTTTTCTAGGCACTCAGTACAGCCCTAAGACATCCGGACAAGTGGCAGTTGTAAGGACTGGAACAGTTCCAGGCTGTGAGTCTGTGATGGTTACGCACCCCCGCCCCCTGCCCTGTATACATAACAGGAACTGAATGTTTGCTGTTTGGAATGTTTAGGTCATTGCCCCTTTATTCCTGATGTGGAAATTAGTTCCTCTAGTTCTAGATTCTTAGGCTGTGGGATCTTTCAGGGCCCAGTGATAGGTACACTTCAGGGTGACCAGCTCAGGGCACCCCCAGTTGTATTTATGTTATAAAGGTATTTAGTCTCAGTTGTTTGGAGTTTTCACATTAAAAAAAGTTACTTGTAGTACAGTCTGGATACATACGTGATGTTCATATCCACACTGACTCCTGGTGCCCCCCATTCAGTGCACAGCAGAGCCATTGTTGATACGTTATCCACTAAAGTGGCCGTCAGACCACCATGGAGAGTGCCATATTTATTGGTGTGGTCGTCTTCTACTTTCATTTCACAAACCACTTTCCCAGGGGCAGCAGACACCAGAGTCACCTAAGTGCAAAAAAAAAAAAAAATTTTTTTTTGACCATTCTTTGGTATTAAGAAAGCCCAAACAGCCCATCAAGAATTATCACTGGATTAAACGGAGTCGCTCCAGGGGCGCCTTGCTGACTCAGTCAGTGGAGCAAGCATCTCGATCTCTCGGGGATGTAAGTTCAGGCCCCACGTTGGGTGTAGAGATTGCTTAAAAAATAAAATCTTAAACTAGGACATCCCAAAAAAGTTGATTAGAAATTCAAATGTTACCAATATCTCTGATAGAAATTAACCCATATGTAAATTCTTCTTAAAGAAAAAGGAATATTTAGGGAAAGAGTTTTTGTTAATCTCCACTCTGCAGAAATACTCTTGAGCTTTTCAGCCTTATGTGTGACAACCTGACATCTCTCAATGTCTCCACAGAAATTGTGGACCAACAAAGCTAGCTAGTTCCTGTGATTTGGATGTTCCCTACTTTTTGCAGAGAATAATTTTTATAATGACTTTGTAATGAATGGTTTAAACAATTTAAAAAACAGACTGGAAGAAATTCAGTAAATCAGTGAGTTACCAGAGTCAACAAACTTATACCGTAAACCCATTTTAATATAAAAAGCTTAACAATAGAATCCAGCAGAGTTGAACTGCGGCTTTTACGGTCCTGCCCATTTATAGTATTTTAATGAAAAAGAATTACATGAAAGTGTCTCAAGCATTAAATGGTTAGATTCTACCTAACTGCTACTTGAGCATTTTCCTATGCTAGGCGCTGAGCCAGACACTAACATATCCTACACAATAAGGAAGGGATAACTTCCATTTTGTAGGTAACTTAAATTCAGAGTGGTTTGTTGTTGGAGTCACCTATGATGTGACAGACTGAGTTAGATCTAGGTCTGTCTTCAAGTCTCAACACCAACTAGGACGTCTCTGGATATACACTGGCCTTTAATGGCTCCCACCAGGAAACAACACACTTTGGAGTTTCAAAAGCCCAACTTTAGGGTTTTGCTGTTGTTTATCCCCGAAAACTAGGCCCTGAAGTAAAACAGAAACAGAGCCATACAATAAAAATCATCCTAAACAATTTTATGTCCTGTTTTACCTAACAGGTACATCAGTGGCAAGTAAATATTAGAATAGGATCAAGTGTATTCATACAACAAATGATCTAGCCACAGGATGTCCTCATAAACTAACAGACACATCAAGCAGGACCACGGTGTAGACTCCCCTTATTTGGGCATTTACATGAGTATAGCAAGCACTGGCAACGTGAAGATGAATGAAATCCAATCCCTGCTCGTAAGGGGTTCACAACCTAAAGAGGTGAGTACATGGGGGAGGGACTTCCTAGAGACGGAATAAATACAAGTTGCTAGAGGATATCTAACTTACAAAAGTATGTGTTTTCAGAGAACAGACATTAGGAAAGGCTTCCTGGGGAATGACAACTGAATCCTGACAGGCCAGGAAGAGTGAGGCAAGTGAAAATGGGGAAGGAAGCCAGGCAGCTCAGGGAAGAGAACTAAATAGGGAGCCTCACAGACGGTGCAATGTAAAGGTGTGGTGTCTTTAGTAGAGGTTAGTTGTTAAAGTCCCACTTGATTATCTAACTTTAGCTGGGATGACAGGAGGTAATACATATGTTAACTTCCTACTGCAGAATACAGTTTTTAACTCTTTTTCTTTCTCCCAACTTGAAAGGCCAAAGGACACACTCCTGTATAAGAGTGGTTTAAAATATTTACTGGAAGAGAGATCATTCTGTAATGGTCACCCTGATAACTGCAAGAGAAATGCTTTTGTGTTTCCATTTCTCGTCTCCCCTATATAAAATAAAGGAATTCAGCCAATGGGAGCTAACAAAGGGAATGTCCTAGCCAATCTCCCAAAGCTAATCTTTTTGGGGAAGAGGCCAATGGAGAGCTAACCTCTCTTTGATGAAGAATGGGGGGTATGAGGAGAATGCTGTCAAAAAAAAAAAAAGAAAGAAAAAATCTTAGTCTCAGTTAAGATATAGGCTATAGGGGACACACCTGTTTAACTTTGTGTTAGGGGCCACACTCAGCAGCCCTGCATGTATTATTTCCATCTTCACTCATCTCTGAAGTCGACACTTTTATCTTCCTTGAACTCCGACATCTCAGGTTTAACCACTATGCAAAATGCCCTCCCTTCACATCTCACCTGGACTGCTGCAGACAACTAGGTCCCGATTCACTTGGTGTCTTGTGGGAGGATGGCAAGAAAGCCTCTTATGATGCAGTGGGGTCAGGAATATATTTGCTGTGGCCCCAACAATACAGAGAATTAACTGCCTGGATACATTCCATTCCCAGGATCCCACAGGTCAGGCAGCTGCAGGAGGTTGGCAAGAACCTTTATGGCTCAGCCCAGTGTTACCCATGGGCTCCTTAGTTTATCATAAAAATTATGTATGTGCACATACAATCATCTCTCCCTTTCCTATATGGCCTGCAATGAACTGTCTCTTCCCTGTTCCTCATGCATTCACCTGAGTCTGTGACTATGCGGCACGGCGCCCTCCTCCCCTCACCCAAACACCTAGGCTCCAATTCCATTACACATAACATACCTGAGGTGACAGTCTCCCCCTTCCTCCTTTACCTTTTCAGTAAAGACAGAAGGGATGCCCAGTAATCAACAGCAGTGAAGGAGATGGTCCCTAGTAGGAGCTCTGTCCAGACCCCAGAATTCTCCTCAGGCCTTGCTTGATGTGTCCGGTCGTTCTGTCCTTAAGAGACCGCCATCACTGTGCCTGCTGCTGATCCCTGTGGACTAGCTCACCAGACTGCCTGCTGGTGGATGAAGGTCGGTCTCTGGCTCCCTAAGGGTGTCTGTGCCGGGCCCAAAGCAGGGTGGCCCGTGGCATGAGAACATGTGGGTATATGAAAACAGGAGTCCCCCAAGACAGGAGACTGAGGACCACACATATACAGAAAAGCACAGAGAACGGGAGTTTCATGTTATTTGTGCAAGAGGCTGTTTGCAAGCAGTTTGCCCTGATGACAGACACTGCTGACTTCCTAGGCGACCCAGTGCAGATACCAGAAGTGTCTGCGGACAATGTATAAACATGCCTTCCTAAAAGCAGTAAAGGAGGCGGCCACAGCAACAAACACAGCACAGTTATGTTCAGGGCCTGCAAGGGCGTGTGCCGCAGGCGTGCGCAGGTCATGCTGCAGTGGCAGGCCCGCACCTCGGGTGTGCAGCGTGTGTCTTCAACACACAGGCAGTTTTAGAGGGATGGTGAGGAGCACTCGGATCCTTCACCGAGGTCTCCCCCCTGTAAGTGGACATAACAGCACTGCCCTCATAGGGTTTTGTCAAGATTGAGATAAACTTCAAACTGAGCAACGAGAGCAAGGCCTGGCATGTCACAGATGACCAAAACACTTGAGTTCTCATCCTTAATATTAAAGCTGTGACTCGAATACAGCCATCAAACCGCAAGTCGGTTTGTATAGTTTCACATGGATCTTTCTTAAAATTGCCCAACTGGAACTGTCTTACTAAATTCAGTCACTCAATGACCTAATTATTAGACTTAATGGATACGTTTCAGCCCCTCTCAGTGTTTCCTGGCCCTTCCCTAACTCCCATGCCCACCTTCTGGGTTTCCTCCTCCTCCACTGGCCACTCCACAGTCCGTTTGCTGGCTTCTTCTCCAGTGTCCACCAGAGTCTTAGGGTCAACTGATTATTCAGCTTCACAAGACTACCCAAGGCCACACCTGCTTTCAGCTTCACTCCGCAGGCTAGAGGAGAGGTTCTCTAACATTGCGCACCATCACAGACTGTCAACAGCACAGTCTTTGGAGCGGACACAGGATTAGATCCCACTGCCTAGTTGTAAGGCCTTGGGAAAGTTAGCTTCAATTGTCTCCTGCATAGAAGGGGATAACAATAGTACCTACCTCCCAGCACGGTCAGGAGGACTACACGAACTATGTAGGTAAACTGTTAGTATGGTGTCTGGCTCGGCGTACTCAACATAAATGTCATTACTGGAAAGGACCACAGCCCACCTGCTCGTCTTGCAATCAGAATTAAACTCTGCTTCGTTTGCGAGGCCTGAACAAACTGAATGAGCAGGTGCCTTTCTGAAGGTGATCGGATCAGATCCCCCACCTAACCTTCTGCGGTCTGGTTCCTTTCTGAGCATACGAATACTAGTGCTCAAGCTGTAGGCAGTGTAACTCTGGGGGGCAGGGCGGGGGGAGAAAGCAAGAAGTCTAGTGAGCGATGCAAGCCATGCGCAATCTCAGATAGTTGTTGGCTAGACGGTCTCCGAGGGACAAACAGCCTGAGAGGGAAAGCTGCCCCCAGCCTGGAGTTCTCACTCCTCTGTCCTCACTCACCCTCCATCGGCAAACCCTATCCGCTTTATCTTCCAACATGGCCAGAACCCAGTCACATCCCTAGCCCCCATCCACGACTCCTCACCCTTCCACTGTGGCCCAAGCTGTCACTTCTCCAGCCATGGCAGCTGCCTTCCCCCTCACCTTCCTGCTCCCGCCCTGGCCGGCCTTGTGTCTGCTCACTCATTAGCAACGGGAGTGCCCCAGCCACAAGTCAAGTTCTGTCAGTCTTCTGTGCAAACCCTTTGAAGTAAAAACCGAAGTCCTTACAGTAACAATGAAGCTGTATGTGAGATCTCACCTCCAGCTCGCCCGCCTGGGATTCCTCTGGAATTGCCGCAAGCACAGTGTTTAAAAGTCTCAGACCCTTTACGTTTGCTGTTCCCCTGCCTGGAACACTATTCCACTGCTTCCAATGCTTCTTTTGTTGCATATTATCTCTCTCAAAAAGTTACTGTTAAAAAGTAGCATATCCTTGGATTTTATAGTGTTTGCTATTCGAAAACATTGAATACATTTGTCTATTATTTCCTATGTTTTTCACAAAAGCCCTTGGATATAATTAGGGAAAGTTACTTACATGTTGAAAATATAGCCCAAATGTTTCCAGGAGGAAGACTTTGGTCCAATGGCCTATATTCTTCCTACAAATGACAGCAGTTGGTCTGTGTTTTAAACTCCACTTTTAAATTACATATTGGCAATTTCCCAATACTCTTTCCTAATCAGAAAGAAAACAAGCAGGGGTGCCTGGGTGGCTCTGTCAGGAAAGCGTCTGACTCTCGATTTCAGCTCAGGTCATGACCTCAGGGTTATGAGATCAAATCCCGCATCTGGCTCTGTGCTGGGCATGGAGCCTGCTTAATTAGGACCCTTTCCCTCTCCCTCAGCCTCTCCCTGACCCCCCTCCCTCTCTAAGAAGAAAAAAAAAAGGGAAAACAGGCATGCATACTTTAAAATATTTAGAAAAAAACCTAAAAGTTCTTAGGTTGTTTAATGTCTTCCAAATCTGACATAACCAAGGACTTCTGTTATTCATGTTTATTTATAAATGATTCCTACATAACACAATTTCTACAAAGACACTGAAAACTAGGAATCTGGGCTAGTCTGTTCATGCACCAAGTGGACAGACGCCAACCCTGCCTGACTCCGTAGCACCACTCTACCTGGAACTTGGCTTTCCTACCCTACTGCAATTACTTATTTTCTAATCCTCTAGGTTGCAAGTGCATCTTTTTTTTTTTAAGATTTTATTTATTTTTTAAAGATTTTATTTATTTATTTGACAGAGAGAGAGCAAGAGAGGGAACACAAGCAGGTGGAGTGGGAGAGGGAGAAGCAGGCTTCCCTCTGAGCAGGGAGCCCGATGCGGGGCTCGATCCCAGGACCCTGGGGTCATGACCTGAGCCGAAGGCAGACGCTTAATGACTGAGCCACCCAGGCGTCCGGGCAAGTGCATCTTAAGTGTAGACATTGTCTCTTACTCTCTTCCTCAGAGCACTACGGGTACCTGTTTGTTGAAGACTCGAACTCTAAAGTCCCTTCCCGCTCTGAAACCAAGCAATTGTCTTCACAACTGATAATCATTTAAACATTCCCTGACTTATGACGGTTTGACGTAAGATTTTTCAACTTTATGATGGTGTGACAGCATTACACATTCAACAGAAACTTCGAATTCTGAATTTCGATCTTTTCCCAAGCTAGTCATATACAGTGCCACGCTCTCGACATGCTGGGCAGTTCCAGCCAGCTCCAGGCTATAGCAGGAGGGTAAGCAACTATACTTAAAATTATTCTTTAACTAGGAGTGCCTGGGTGGCTCAGTGGGTTAAGCCTTGGACTCTCCACTTCGGTTCAGGTCATGACCACAGAGCCCCAGGCAGGCTGCATCTCATGTGAGATCGAACCCTGCCTTGGGCTCTGCACTGGGCCTGTAGCCTGCTTAAGATTCTCTCTCTCCCTCTCCCCCTCCCTGCTCACTGGCGTTCTCTCTCTCTAAAAACAAAAAACAAAAAAGAAAACAAATAAAATTCTGTACCTGGGCGCCTGGGTGGCTCAGTTGGTTGAGCAACTGCCTTTGGCTCAGGTCATGATCCTGGAGTCCTGGGATCGAGTCCCGCATGGGGCTCCCTGCTCGGCAGGGAGTCTGCTTCTCCCTCTGACCCTCCCCCCTCTCATGTGCTCTCTCTCTCTCTCATTCTTTCTCTCAAATAAATAAAAAAAAATTTTTAAAAAAAAAAAATTCTGTACCTATACAACCATTTCCTTTTTCACTTGCAGTACAGTACTCAGTAAACTACAGGAGATATTCAACACTTTTTACAAAATAGGCGTTGTGTTAGATGATTTTGCCCAACTGAAGGCTAAGAAGTAATCCGAGCACATTCAACATAGGCGAGGCGAAGCTACGCAGGCTAGGTGTATTAAATGCACTTTCGACTTACCATATTTTCAACTGGCAATGGGTATAATCCGGAAGGAACCCAAACGTAAATCAAGGCAGATCTGAACTCAGTTATGTACATTCCCACGAAATACACTACGCGCTTGACCTGACACATGGTCATTACTACACAGGTGAATTTACCGGGGCAGTCCAACAGAATCGAGCGAGAGATACTAATTCAGCGCAACCCGCACCCAGCATCGTGCTTTCTTTAGAAGCCAACGCTTCCACCGCAATACCTTTTCCAAAACTCTATCAAAACCGGGGACACGGGTCATCGCCTTCATCAGCTCCTTCACATTCTGTGTCAGGCGGCTCATCGTGGACCGCTGCGGCTTCTGGGCACAACGCAAGAAGGAAGCCCGGGCGAGCCGGGGAGCGGGGGGGCCCGACGTCCGCCAAGGAGCAAGGACAAGCAGGGCGAGGAAGGCCGCGTCCTCTCCGCCCGCTGGGTGCTCCGCGTCCGGCTTCTCGCGCACCCGCCGCCAGCGCCCCAGCGGCCCAGCGCCTAGCGCTCTGACGTCGCACCGCCTCCGCGTTGTGACCGCGCACGCGCCGTGTGCCCCGCCCCCGCCCCGGCCGCCTCTCCCGCGGCGCAGCCACGCCTATCGCCCTCCGGGGGCGGAGCGCGTTTCCAGCCGGGCGGTTGAGAAGGGTGCGCCGGGCGCCTGCGCAGATCCGAGCGCCGGCCCTCCCGCCCTGGTGAGGGGCGCGGTGGGCCCCAGGGCTAGGCGATGGAAAGGCCGAGCAGCTCGGAGGCGGAGCGGCCAGAGGGCGAGCCCGAGGTGAAGAAGCGGCGACTTCTGTGTGTGGAGTTTGCTTCGGTTGCGAGGTGCGACGCGTCCGTGGCTCAGTGCTACCTGGCCGAGAACGACTGGGAGATGGAAGTAGGCTTCGCCGCTCTCTTCCGCCTCTTTACCTCGGGCCGGGGGGCGCCCAGGTCTCACGGCTGTTGTGTGTTTTTCAGAGAGCGCTGAACTCCTTCTTCGAGCCGCCCGGGCAGGAGAGCGCCGCGGAGAGCCGTCCTCGCACGGCGGCGGGGCCCGAGTCCTGGTGAGGAGGCGCGCGGGCCGGGCGGCGGCGCGGGGCTGGGGGCTTCTCCGCGCGCGCGGGAGTCCGGGAGGGAACCCGCTCTGCCACATAAGAGGAAGGAGGGAGGCCGCGTTCGCTGTGGAGGAGCGGGACCGTGGGAGGCCGCGGCTTCCTGGGCTGTTCATTCATGCGCTCCCTGCGGCGGACAGAGTGGTGGTTTCTGCGCTGCTCGGGCCGCCCAGCTGCCTCACCCCTCCCGGCGGCTTGACCATCTTCCCGGGTTGGTCTCCTCTCACCCTCTCCTTCCCGCCACGCAAGTTGTTACGGGGCATCCAACGTGCGCTTTCTCCAGGGGGCGTTTTCTCTCGCCTTGCATCCTTTGTAAAGATACTTGTTGATGTAGAAATGGTTGGGGTTTGGGGCCCACGACCAAGCAAGAAGTCTTTTTTTTTTTTTTTTTTAGGATTTTATTTATTTCAGAGCGCGAGCGAGCGACAGCGCGCAGGCATGAGCGCTGGGAGGGGCAGAGGGGGAAGCAGGCGCCCTGCTGAGCTGAGCGCCAGGTGCGGGGAGGGAGCCCAGGATTCTGAGATCGTGACCTGAGCGCAAGGCAGCCCCGGAACTGGCTGAGCCACCCACGCGCCCAAGAAAGAATTCTTGAGCCGTCTTTGGTGCAAAAAAGGTGGTTTTATTACAGCAGGGGCCCAGGACTCCTGGGCAGGAAGAGCTGCGCTGGGAGCAGTGGCCCATTATATGCTTTCAAGTTGGGAGGGGCTTAGGGACCGCACAAGCGTCCAAGGAATTTTGGAAGCGAGGTTTCCAGGACCTTGAGGGGGCTCGCTATTGTTGGGAAAAGGTCATTTATTGCCGTCTAGTAAAAACTCAGTCATGAGACCCTTCAGATGAATTTCGGTGGGTCATATGCTTGGGGGACGACGATTGCCAACATGTAGCTTTGGGGAGGATGGTAGAGATAGAGGAAGTTTCCAAGGGTATTTTTATATGTTGAAGTTGACTTACAGGATCCTGGGGAGTTTGGCTGAAATTGACTTTTGCCCTTAGCAAAGTATTAACATCAAGGCAGCTGAGTTCCTAGAGGAAGGTCACTCTGCCTGTTTCAAGGACTTGTCAGTGGGCTGTAGGCAGTAAGGAAATTTAACTGTTCTTTTGCCTTTGTTTTCCGCGTCATTTATTACCTTGGCCTAGAACCTTTTGTTCGACTCTTTCCGCGCTAAGTCATATTTACCTTAAGGCCCATCTTAGGACTTACCTCCCAAGAAGCTTTCCTTGATCTCTCAAGTCTGGGTAGGTTTCCCCTTGTAGGTAATCTTAGAGCATCCTGCGTGATCCCAGTCATAGTAACTTAGTTTATATTGTAATTGCTGTTTAATATTTTCTGTCTCCCATTGAACTACCCATTTGGTGAAATCAATATCTGTTTTATACATTGTTAATTTCCCAAAGTCTAGTACAATATTTGGCATATAATAAGCTCTCAATAAATGTATATAAAGTTTTCCCAGATATATGGGCAACCTGTAGAGTTAATGGTTCATAGTGAAGACACTTTTCTCCCTATGATCTTTTCAGCTGCACTAGTTTACAGAAGTAATAAGATCCTTTTCATTAGGCTCCCTTCCCTGACTAGCCCTTATTGGGGGAATTGTCCCCCCATCTGCAATGATAGAGCTCTGCCTCCCATGTTGTAGTATTGGCCTAGCTCAAGCTGGCCAGTCAGATCCTCTCTGCTGAGATTTCCAGACTGGGAGGAAGAGCTCAGTCTGAATCTTCCTGTGGAGCTGGAATGGTCACATGCTAACCTAGTATTTGTGGGGAAAGCTGAGAATGGTGGTCTGCAGAAGGAGAATGAAGCCGAGGGAAGTTGAGTCAGTGGAGTCAGATCAAGAGAAAGCCTTGATTGCATTTCCTCAGGGATAGCTGCATTCCCATACCTGGCTCTGTGACATGTTTCTGTTTCTTCTAAATTCCTCTGTTTTGCTCATAGGAGCCTGAGTTATTTTCTGTCAGTTGCAACCTAGATTGTAACCAGTAAAGAAATTGGAACAGAGGGTCTTGATGGCAGGGTGGTGAGTTCAAGCCCTCACTATTTTGAGGGTGGAGCCTACTTAAAAAAAAAAAAAAGTATGTGCAGGGGGTGCCTGGCTGGCTCAGTTGGGAGAGCATGCCACTTTTGATGTTGGGGTTGTAAGTTCAAGCCCCATGTTGGGTGTAGAGCCTAATTAAAATTAAAATCTTTAAAAAAGAAAGAAAGAAAGAAATGGAAACAGAGGAAGTGGATTCCCTGAAATAGTCCCACAGAAAAAATCTGAATCCAGCTGAGTATTGGTGGAAGGGAGGACCATTAGGAGTTCCCTATCCCAGAATTGTAAACTGGAACATTTGTGACACAGTTGGCAAAATTTGAATAGGTCTTAAAATTATATAATAATGTTGTATAAGTGATAACTTTCTGATGTTCAGTAATGCTGGGTATACAGGTAAGCCTGTCCTTGTTTCTAAGAAATACATACAAAGGTATTTATGCACACATTTCAGAATAAAAAGAGCAAAGCAAGTAAATGTTACATGAAATGTTAACATTTATGTGGGTGAATGGGGAAAAGAAATCTTTTTACTGTTTTACTGAAAGTCTGATTTTATTTCAAAATAAGTTAATAAGTTAACTAGATTTATTGTGGTGGTCACTTCACAGTGTTTACAAATACTAAATCGTTATATTGTGCCTGAAATGAATATAATGTTATATGTCAATTATATCTCAATAAAATTTTTTAATTAAAAAATTAAAATATTGACATTAAATTTATTAAAGTTATAAATATAAAAACCTATTTCTTTTTTTTTTAAGATTTTATTTATTTGAGAGAGAGAGAGAATGAGAGATAGAAAGCACGAGAGGGAAGAGGGTCAGAGGGAGAAGCAGACTCCCTGCTGGGCAGGAAGCTGGATGTGGGACTCGATCCCGGGACTCCAGGATCATGACCTGAGCCGAAGGCAGTCGCTTAACCAACTGAGCCACCCAGGTGCCCTAAAAACCTATTTCTTAAATTTATGTATGGTATATAACTGCTTGGCAGTCACCTTTTAATAATGGTTTGTCCCTCCACTCAAATACCTGTGCCTTGGTGGGGATGGTGTGAGGTGGTGTCAGGACCGTGGACTGGAGCTGGTGCCTGTGGCCTCTCCAGCGTGGTAGTCTCAGACTAGTCAGACCTCTTAGGTGATCTCTCAGGAGAGAATGTTCGAAAGGCTTGAGTGAAAGCTGCAAAGTTTCATATGACCAAGCCACTTCACCTTTCAGTGAGGGGGCTAACAAATTGCAGCTGTTACTCACAGTGAGATTTTATTTTGTATGTTTCATACATTTCACATATGATTTAAAGTGAATTACATAGTCTAATTTCAGGTCATAGTTTACAAAATCATTTTAGTGACTGACCCATGTCATTGAGGGGTATTGAGTTGGCTCTATGTAAGTGAGCAGGACAGCAGGGGCCCAGGACTCCTGGGCAGGAAGAGCTGCGCTGGGAGCAGTGGCCCATTATATGCTTTCAAGTTGGGAAGGGCTTAGGGACCGCACAAGCGTCCAAGGAATTTTGGAAGCGAGGTTTCCAGGACCTTGAGGGGGCTCGCTATTGTTGGGAAAAGGTCATTTATT